TTTCAAAACAGATCTTTCAAACTGGGTACAGGATTTTTGAACCTGATGCTACTCCACTACTTGGAAGGGCAGTGTGCAGCGTGAGCTTTCTGATCCTATCCCTGCCACACCCCCTACCCTCTGGATTTGGCTCTCTAGACCTGGCTTGCAAGTGCATGACTCTAGCTCGGGCTGTAGTGATCGCTCTCATCAGGAGAAGAGGATGTTCCCCTTCCCATCGGTACTGCTGTTGAGGGATGCCGTGCTTCTCTCTGGGGGCACGGTCTCTCCCACTGACTTACCAGTCGTCGTTATTGAAAACGATGAAGCCTTTACTACCACGGCCAAAAGCCACTTGATTGCTGTCATTATCCCACCAGTTGGAGAAAGGCTGACCATCTACCACGTTACGGAAGACAACCATGTTCCTGAAAATGCAAGGAATGGCTGTCACTGTGGCTGCAAGGGCTCCTAAAGCCACAAGGAACAAGAAGCAAAAGCAAAAAGTGCTTTTACTTACTTTTTCTCCACAGGGCCCTACCTTATTTGACGCCAGCGATGTTCACAAACCCAGTCGTTGCCACAGGTAGTGTCTGCATTGATTGTAACAGGCTTTGTTGATCCATCCGAGTAACTTGGTGGTCCAATCCAGTCATTGGTGTCCTGTGATTAGAAAGAGAAGTTTAAAACTTCTGTCTGTCTGGAAATGCAGAGAGCCTCTCTGTAGAGAAAAGCTAGAAGGAGCATCAAACTTCCACCTGCTAGATCCAGCATGGGACAGAGAAATCACTTCATAACCTTAAAGGCACTGCCCTTCCCTGGCCCTGTTCTTGTCCTTATTCACCCCGAACTGATCTTCAGCATTACAAGCTTACCTGTCCATTTACAAAATTTCTTGCCCAGCGATAACTTGACATCACACGTGTGAACCCATATGGATGCGCAAGCATGAAACCAACAGCCATTTTATAAAGCCTGTTCGTTAGACGACAAAAAAGTGATGAGATGGGGAAAGAGAAACCCTATCAGGGAACAAATAGACAAACAAGCAAAAGGAAGAAGCATCACCCAGACAAGAGCAATGCCTCACCTGGCATCCCAGAAGGTTAGAATGGAAGCTCCACCGGCCCCATGCCCGCGCTGGTTGTCGTGGTTATCCACAAAGACCAGGGCTCTGTTGGAAGGCACAAAGCCCCAGCCTTCTCCCCAGTTCCTAGCCAAAAACACAAAGACTTGAGGACATCCTGTCACCTGGCACATCCTGCATATCCCAAATAAGAAACGGGATGTTCATCCTTACTTTAAGTAGGCCATCTTTTCTCCATTCCACCTGCGGATCACTGTCCCCAGTTTTGCACCATATTTGAATTCCGTCACTCGGCC